CCGTCACGCCGGAGTCGACGCTGAAGTAACGGTCGAAAAACTGTTTTGTACTGAAGATATAAATAACACTGCTAATAACCATAGTCAAAACAGAGAAGTGAAAGGTAAAGATTGAGGAAGAGAATAAAGTCTAAGAAATTTAAAATATAAAAATCATTGTTTTAAAAATAAACTAAAATGAAATAGTGTGATGTAATATGAAATAAGAGAACATTATTTGTATCAGCTGTGAGACTTGCTTAGTTGGTAAAAACACAATATTCACGACCGTTAGGTTTTGAGTTCGAATTACCCCGGATGAAAAATATGAAAAAACTATATATAGATTTAAAAAAAAAAAAGTTCGTGTCAGCTTCCATAAAGAAGTAATGAGTAATTTCATACATAACGTCTGTTGATCAAAATAGTTTTCGGCACTGTGTTTAGTGGCATCCTGACTATAGTTGGGATCATGTCGGTAACCCAATCTCCAAACAAAGCATAGCGTGTGCGTCTAAAAATGTAACACGCAGTTCCTTCCCTCTTCCGCCGGTCAATTGGGCACTTTAGTTCGTTACGTTTGTCCAGAAGACTAATTTGAAAAGACATCCAAGGACACGCATCTTAAGCCCATAGCGCATGGATCATTTAAGGGTAGTTATGCCTTTTCATGCTGTTAATTAGAGTATCAAGCTATCTAGTCTTTTATTGTGGGTCCACGTGTTCTTTTCCCTTTTCTGGCGGTTGATATTTGGGAGGAGGGAAGTGGAAACACCGAGGACTGGATTCCAAATGTTGTTTTTGGAACGTTTGCTTTGAATTACGGTGATTTGGAGGGTTATAGAGATGGGTTTTTTGAGTTCGATACTGGGTTTTTGTGGATTTGGAGTTGGAGTTTCTGCTGGCTTGGTGATTGGTTACTTTATGTTCATCTTTTTTCAGCCCAACGATGTTAAGGTGCTACCTCTGTCTTTCTTTCTCTATCTTTATGATTGTGTGTCAGTAGGTATCTTTTTTGTTGGCACTTTCCTCTATTCAGTGTTTCTCCTTGCTACTATATTTGTTGATTTGTGGGGTTTTAAGTTCATTGTCTCTAGTGACAAACACGTCCGGTGAAGTTCTATATTTTCATTTGCCTGCTTGAAGACATTTTATTCAAGCATCTAAAAAATTTGGAGTACTTGCAAATAGTCTCTTCAAAGTTTAAGTTAAAGAGGGTGCTGAAATTTTATGTTTACTATTGGAATGAATGGGCGTGATAATAGAAGATTTATATAACCGACTGCAACTAGATTGAAATCGAGGTGTAGTTGGTTGATTTGTTGTGCTATATTTATGTGCTTCTACTAGATTGGTTATGGTGGTGGAGAAGAATATCTGCATTGCGATTTCCTATTTGAGTTAGATTCACATAACTCAGTGGTCTTTCCCCAAGTTGAGCTCATATACCCAAGGAAATTAACATTTAGTAATGCTAAAGAAGCTACATTAGCCTCGAAATTTCGCCTACTTAAAAAAAGAATCCTCTGAATTCCATGTAATATTTACTAAACCCTTCTTGATGTAAGCCTCCTAAATTTATGAAGACAGTAGTGTTCCTCTCTCAAATTGAATGCCTCCATTGCAACTTAGACAAGTATCAATCTAAAGATTCATCTAATTTGACAATTTCTACGCTGGCCGTCAACCTACTGCAGGCCTCCTCTATTCTTATTTGAGATTGATCCTGCTATTATTAAAATGGATAGAGTCATAACATCAAGATGAGGTTTAGAGGTAAAGGTCAATTCCACAAAGGGGTTCTCTCACAAGAGAAATCTTCATTAAAACATCATAAACTAACTTTAAACTAAAAGACTTCCTATTTATATGCGAAGTTAATGGAGTAGTCCGAAATACAAAGTAAAGATCCTAAATAACTAGGTAGATTATATGGCCCAGGTGGGTGGACGTGTGGCCCACAGGTTATTCATTTGTGAGAATAATATTTCTGGAAGTCTAAATGCTATACTCAATGTCTTGGTCAAACGTGGTCGATCCCCGGTCAACCCTCAGCCAAACTTGGTCAACTCTTCATAGAGCACTCCGGCCTTCTAAAATGGTGCAAAGTCCATGATCATGTTGTTGTCATTGTCGAAGAGGTTATGGAAGTACAGATTAATAGAACCTTGTCAAGCATCCCTACACATTGTTTGTCTTTTATGTCCGCACTGGTTAGTGTGACCAAAAAAATTAAAGATGTTGAGAATAAATTTCTCGTATGAAACAATTGATGAGAGAGAAAGAAGTTTCAGTTGGATAATTATGAGGTGGTCACATCTCCGAAAAGGTATGGAGGGCTTGGAGTGAAAGATTTGTTGGTATTCAATAGTGCATTATTAGGTAACTTAATGTGGAGATTTTGTAATGAAACAAGCTTTATGGAGGACTGTGATCCAAAGAAGTATAGAATTTAGGAGCTGGATGGAGGTTTGGGATCACTACATTACTCTATGAATGAGGAATATCGTGAAGAGATAAAGATGATTTCAGCAGTGACGTCCCTTCAAACTAGGAAAGAAAATAGGGTTTAGTTGTGGAAGCACGGGTGGTATGGTGATGCACATTGATGGCTGATTTCCATCTATTTATAGCACGTATATCTACAGTGTAGAAGATAAAGGAATCATTTGAGATTTAAGATTCAGGTGAAATTAACAAGACTTAAGAATAGTTGATTTTCAAAAGTAACTCTAAAAACAGAACATTACATAGCAAAACATGACATCTGGAAGAAGAATGGCAAAAAAATAGATTCTCTCTATAAAGTCCTATTACATAGGCTGCTGAAACCACTGGACACGGAGTTTCTTTACCTGTCAGTGTGAACTCTCAGAGCACTGAGGAAGGTAAATGACAACTAGAGGGGTGATACTAAAAGCTGAAAATGACAAGGAGTGTTTCTCACATCAATGTGAAATTACTTTATCAAAATATATTAAGCTAATCATATTTAAGCTAAAAATGCTATAACAATGAAGCAAATGCATATTTCATTTTAAGCATTTGACCTGTATTCATAATAGTACTTGCATGCTTTATTAAGCATAAGAAAATGTGGTTTTACAGCATGAGTAACGCTTAACGACTTATCATGCAAAACTTATTCCTAACAAGATTTGATGAACCACCAGGTGAACCTTTGTGTCCAACAAGAGGTGATTGGTACATGGTTACGACCGAACAAAAATGTACACAATTAGAAGAGGTGAAACAGTGCGATCATTCAGCTTGTAATATTTTATGACCCACAAGCTCAAACCTATATGCATATACAGTTACAGTTGTGAACCGGTCAAGTCTTTTTTTTTTTTTTGGACCTGGCAAGTAGCTTCCACTGCCAATATTGTGCATCCTTTCTGATTAATCCACTTGCTTGTGATTATTTGATTGAGGAACTACACTGGGTTGTTGGGAGGACTATGTTGGGGGAACAATGAAAACTTGATAGGGCCATCAGGATCTATGTTGCGCGGACTCATTATTTTAGCTGCTCCACCCGTGTCGACACGACACTGGTACTAGTAAGGGTATAGAATTCGTACCGGGTGTGGTCAATCGAGATAGGGTACTTTGACCACAATCCATGGACAAATTTGAGGAAACAAAGATTGAATTTTAGCTGTTGCTGGCTAGTGCCTACAATGTGAGAAATTCTCAAAATGAAAGATTGAATTATTGGTTGCACTCCACAACTTACTAGTAGGTTTTATAGATCTTTTTTTAGAATTTTAAATTACTTTTAGCCGAATCTCCACACCCGTATCCATACCTGAATCCGTACTCCCCGAATCTTAAAATTTAGATTATGAAGGATCCAGCATCTAGATTCGCACCCGGAGCGGATACCCGCACCCGAGTTTGAGCAACATAGACCAGGATATGATGATGGTTGAGGTATTACCTAAACACATCTTTAGCTCATAATGTTAGTTGTTTGGCAAATAATGTTTGTGTATTGCAAAGTTGCATCTCTAAATGATTTTGTTATTCAACGTTATGAGAGTTTAACTCTGTCTTTGAGCTTCCCAAAGTATTGACAGTTCGTAATTAGGATGACGGAGGAGGATTGTGACATTCAGCGCAAATAGCCAAAGTGTGATGAAGGATTTCTTTGAATACTAATTGGACCTAAATAGAGCAGAATTCATATGGAGGATTCATATAGCCGATCCAAGCTAATTTGGAATTGAGATATAGTTGACTGATTGATATACTTTCGACATTTTTCATTTGGACACTTTGGTATATATTTGATACGGTCAGATGTGAATATTGTAAGTGAAGTTTGAGATTGACATATGGAAAAGGCAAAGGAATGGAGTTTTCTCGGTTGGTTGTTGTGTACACCCCTGGATAAGTCATAAACCCCTGAGTTTGACTTACAAGGACTTACAGCTTCTCTTCGAATGCAAGACTGTCTGGTATCACAATGTTGGAATGGAAGCAGCTGGGTTTAGAAGGTGAACCTAAATGCAGAAGAAGAAGAAGAAGATCAACTAATATGGAAGAGGCAAACAAATGGAGTTTCCTCAGTTGGTTCTTCTTACAGGGAACTAAACAAGGGTTTCTGTAGCAGTATCACTTGGCCTTGGATTTAGCTATGGAAAAGTAAAGCCTTCTATAAGGTAGCATGTTTCATTTGGCTTCTTGCACATGATGCTTGCCTAATACAATGCAATCTACAGCAAAGGTGGATGTTATTATGTAGCAGATGCTATCTCTGTAATAAGGAAGAGGAGAGCAGCAGTCATCTGTTTATGCACTGCACAATTGCTAGACAACTGTGGAACTTATTCTTCAACTTGTTCAACGTATCGTTTGTCATGCCTAAAACAGTAGAGGAATTGCTGTCCGGCTGGAGAAGTGGTGGGATTAGAAATTCTCTGAAAAGAGCATGGATCACAGTACCTGCTTGTATCTGTTGGACCCTGTGGGGAGAGAGAAACTCGAGGTGTTTTGAAGGAAAAGAGACTATACAGTTGTTAAAGTTCAGATGTCTATGGTTTTGGCTTTCTTCTGCAACATTCAAGATGTAAATGATGAGGACAGCATGCTAGATTACATCATTTCACTGCAGGAATAGACATTTCGTACAAATGGGATCTTTTCTTTTTGTTTTTGTATATGGGGATCCCANGGGGGGGGCTTACATTAGCATTTCACATTTTTTCCTTGGGCATGCCGAACTACTGTTTTTAATTACTATCTTAAAATTATGAAATATCTGATTACTTTAATGTGATATCTCAGTGGGCAGCCATGTTGTTGAGATAAACTTTACTCGTGCTAAATTCTTCTCCTTCCTGCTCATTGATATATTTCATTTGTCTCACTTCTGCACTTCTATCAGTGGAGGAGATAACATTTTCTATTTTACACAATCAGCACCTTTGGAACAGCTAATGGTTTTCATTCTCAATCAGGACCTTGTTATTCATCCATTGGTCGAACGAGACACTCAAAGCTTGCAGCAATTACTTCCTGAAATTCCTATTTGGGTTAAATGTCCGGATTATGACCGTGTAAGTATTTAGTTACATGTTTAACCTGCATCCTTGAAGTTGAGCTGTGAATTATATTTTTATTTCCTTTGTTCGTTGCTGAAGGTGGACTGGCTCAACAAATTTCTTGAGCTCATGTGGCCTTATCTGGACAAGGTATTCTCCATTTCCTAACAGTGTTTTGAATTTCTTTCTCATTGATATCTATCAAAAAGGAAGTAAACTAACCTAATTTATATAAACAGGCTATTTGCAGGACTGCGAAGAATATTGCTGCACCTATTATTGTGGAGCAAATTCCAAAGTATAAAATTGACTCTGTTGAATTTGAAACACTGACTTTGGGGTCCTTACCACCTACTTTCCAAGGTTAGTGGTTTCTTAATGGCCATTAACAAAATTAGTTGGTCCTTTTATTTTTAGTTAGTGTTGTGACTTACTAGGAAATTAAAATGTGGCATACGAATAAGATACAGAAGATGCCCTCTCTTACTCGTCTGCTTTCCATTCCTATCGTAGAAATGCATTAGATGATAATTGTATAGTGGTCTTGATGTTTTAGTTGGCTAGGTAAATGATCTGCGTAAGAAGAAGTTTCAGTTATGTAGGGTAAGAATATGGTTATGGCATCAGAGAGTGCAATGCATTACTTTGTAGTTGCTCCATTTGTTAGCTGAAGTTCGCATTAATATATAATTGTCAAGGAGTTAACCCTCAAACTAGCAGATGCTGTCGTTTCGACACATAATAAGAGCTTTTTCCCCTTTTTGATAAGTATCATGTTTGGTGTAAGTTAATGAATTTGAGTGCACCGCCAAATAGTCTTTGAAAAGTTTGGTTAGTAAAGCTTATATCTTCGATAGAAAGATACAAACTCGTGATCTTAAACGTTTTGTACAGATAAGAAGGGAAGGTGAAAGGTGAAACGTACTAGTTGGCAGAGTTACTCGGGGAGTTTTTTCTTTTTATGAATTTCTGTTAACAGTGGTGTTATTATTATTTAAGTGTTGCATGGGATATTCTCTCTCTTTCATAGAGTTGGTGCAACACCTTTCATATACCTCTTCCCATGCTTCTTACTGGTTGCTCTGATCAGCTGTGATAGCTCATCTTCTTTCTCTCTCTCAACTGCTTTCTTGACCCTTGGTATATGTCAGACCTTGGATGCAATGAAATTGTGATCTAAATCTTTTAATATGATGGTTTATAAATAAGGTAGTGTGTTATAGGACTTTTGACTTAGCTTCAACATAAACTTCACCTAAGGTTCTGCTGCTGGCAGGTATGAAGGTCTATGTTACTGATGAAAAAGAGTTGATGATGGAACCATACTTAAAATGGGCCAGCAATCCTAATGTCTCTGTTGCGGTCAAAGCATTTGGATTGAAAGCAACTGTTCAGGTTTTGCAATTTTTTTAACCGTTCTGCATTTTGCCAAATTTTGAGAAAAATAAAGTGCCTGCCTACATTTGCTGTAATTGAGTAGAAAGTTGTAATTGCTTTGNCTACATTTGTTGTAATTGGATAGAAAGTTGTAATTGCTTTGGTGGATATTTCAGGTTATCGACTTGCAGATCTTTGCAGCTCCACGTATTACTCTGAAGCCTCTAGTTCCGAGCTTTCCTTGTTTTGCCAAAATCTTTGTGTCACTTATGGAGAAGGTATGTCAGTCACATTTCTGGGAAAAGAAGGCATGTTGCTTGCAAACATGCTTCCAGTAGTTGTAATGGCAGATAGTTAAATGGTATGAAATACTTGAGACAGTATCATTGGTCAGTGTCCTTTTCTCTTATCCCGAGAATGTTAACATGTTCCGGATTGAATATCTTTTTTCTTGTTTGGATGGGTTGTTGTATGGAAAAATCAAGGTGGTGAAATGTATTCCCTTGACGTGCACTATGGAGAAGTGCACCATTATGTACATAGTTGCTCTTAATGTCCTCGATGTAGTATCACTGCTTTGGTATTAATTTTCATTTTGAAGATCTATTGCTTTTGTTCTATGTATGATTGTGTATTTATGCTATTGTATTTAACTATTTATGCTACTGTCTTGTTCACGTCCGTTGTTTTTTTATTATGGTTTTTAGCCACATGTTGACTTCGGGTTGAAGCTATTGGGGGCTGATCTAATGGCCATTCCTGGGTTGTACAGGTTTGTCCAGGTATTATTTTCTTTTATGCCAATTTATTTCTTTTGAAATATTATGTTTGTTGGATTTGCTCCATTTGCGCAAAAGAACCTGGAATGTTGATTTTACCCAAGGGCTTTAGTCTAGTGGTTAGAGCACAACACCTGACATGTGGGTTAGACACGCGTGTGGATTCAAATTGTGCCGCTGATGAAAGCTTGGTACTTAAGTGGAGAAGGGTAGAGAGCAGTGGCGGAGCTAGGATTTTCACTAAGGGGTATCAAAATATAAGAGTTTAATTATACCGTAAAATCAAGGGAGTCAATGTATAGTAAATATACATAAAATAAAAAAAATTATCTAGCAATACAGTGTAATTTTTGGGCCAAGGGGTGTCGATTGACATCCCTTGGTTGAACACTTGTAGAGAGGCGGGCCCATTATCCACCAAGTTCCGAACCGTGTGCCACTAACACTCCGGAGTCCTCGGTCATAAAAACT